GCAGTGCCGGCAGCTTGGAACTTCAAAACACTCCGAGCTTCAGAAAACTTCCCCAATGATGGGGATTCGTCAGCTGATAAAATGAAACAATAGATAAGGTGCCGGCGACCTTCATCCTTCCCTGTGAGTGATGGTTCCGTGGAGATTGCGAAACGCCGGCTGATGTGGGGCCTTTCCCCTCTTGTACACTTCGAGTAGAAATGCAGATAAGCACCCAGAGTTTTGCTGAACCTTTGTGTTGGCCCTGAGGACTTGGATTTGGGCAGATCTGCTGTTATGTGCCTCTGTCACACCAAACACCGGCACAGAGGCGTGCTCCCAACAGGGCTGTCTTTGTGACTTGGAGCTCTGTCTTTTTCTTCTGAGTCCCCTCTGCTGGTTGAGGGTTGAGGGTCATAGTGTTGGTCTGAGAGATGAACTGATTTCAGTGAAGTCCTAGGAGACAACATGACTGCGCCTTACTGTGCCCCTGTCAGTGCCCAGAACCCAAGAGTGCCACCGAACCCTGGTCCCCATGCATGTTTTGTCAACAAGAACATAGGCTCTCGTTCATTCCGTCTCCACCTTGCCTGGCCCCTTGTGCTACTTGGAGTTTGCCTCATCTCCACCAGGAGAGACTGTAGCAGTCATAGATCACTCATGTCCTGTTTCTTTGATCAACACCGAGTCAATGGGAGAATAAAGAGTGAAAACCAAAGTCTCCAGGACAAGCTAGAAGCAACCCGCCAGGCCACAGACCGAGGCATGGCAGAGACCCAGGATGCGCTCGGGAGGCCTGACCAGAGGGGCCCAGGGCCCAGGGCCCCCAGGGCTCCAGCCTTATTGTGGCAAAACACGTATACCATAAAAGTCACCATTTGAAGTGCAGTGCAATTCAGTGGTAGTCAGTACAGCCACAGGTTGTACAACCACCCCTATCTAGTTTCAGACGCTTTTCAACAACCGAAGGGAGACCCGCATCTCAGCCACTGCTCCCCCCTTTCTTTTTTTCCTCTCACCTTCCTGTCTTCCTTCCTTTTTCCCATTTTCCTTCTTTCTTTCCTTTCTCTTCTTCCCCTCCCTCCCTGCCTTCTTTCTCTCCTCCTTCTTTCTTTTTTGCTGTCTTAAAAGTCATAGAACATAGAAGTTCGCCATTTTTAGCACCCAGCTCAGGGTATCAAGCACCTTTATGGTGCTGCTCAGCCATCACCACCATCCACCTCCAGGGCTTCCTCATCTGCCCACACTGAAAGACCAGGGGCCTCCTAATCCTTTTATGCTTGGTTTGTCAGTGGCCACAATGTCCCCAAGGTTCATAACTATTGTCAGAATTTCCGTCCTTCTTGAGGCAAATCATGTTCCCTTGCATGAATGACTGTATTTTATTCCCCCACTCCTCGGCAGGGGACAGTACCTTTGCCCTGCTGTGAACCCACTCCGTGACCCAGGCACAAAACTGCCCTCCTGGGTGCAGACCCAAAAGTGGAATCACTGTTCTCCAGCAATTTTACTTTTCTTTAGCTTCTTACTGTTTTTTACAGTAGACTTTTTTTTAGAGCAGAATTGTGTTGGTGGTGACTCCATGCTTATATTTGAGGAACCACTCAAGTGGCATTGGATCCCCACGACAGCCATGCGCCATGGTCTGGTCTCCACATATTCACTGTGCTTGTTCGAGCTGGGTGTTGGTTCCAGGCATCTCGTTCTGATTTGTACTTCCTGGTGCTCAGGGATACTGAGCTTGTCTTCGTGTGCTGAAGAGCTGTGTGTATCTCTTCTCTAGATAAATGTCTGAGTCCCTAGACTTTCAAAAAATCAGGTTATCTGTTAATAGCTTTGTATTAAAAAAATAATAATTTGAAATTACACAATTAGTGTCTCTAAGAGCCAATCTTGAACACCTACATTGTGGGAGACAAGAGATCACAGGGGGTCTACTTCCAGCTCCGGGGCAGAGCAAGCTAGCATGTGGTGGGGGACAGCATGTGGGAACGGTGATGGGCGTGAGGGTCTTGAAAGTTGGACCCTGATACTCATGGTTTTCATACCCTATCAGAAAAGCCTGCTGTTGACGTTGACCATGGTGCCCGGTGTGGAGGAGGACAGCACCAGTCAGGGCCGTGTGGTACTTTCCTGTCCTGCTTGCTCCTCATTTTCCTGAGGGGCTTCAGGGAGCACAGACCATGTGGTCTGCTGGCCATCTGAGCCCAGCAGCATTCTCCCTGGCTGTGAAGGAAGGAGGGTGCTGGAGTTTGGGGGCTTTGTGCCTCCTCATCAGAACACCTCACACCCAGGCTCCAGCCCAGACTCGACCCTGTGGCTCCCCAGCTTGCCTGACAGCACACAACCTGAACACCAGGGTGGTGGGGATGCTCAGGACCCCACATGCCCTAGTTGGCCTTGGTACAGGGGATATAGGACACCTCTCTGATCCAATTCAGCCAGGAGGGTGGCCCTCACATCTCTGGGTCACCCCATGCTAGGCTGCCTCCTCTCACATCTGAGTTTTCTGTCCCTGGAGCCCACCAGCCACTGGCCTGTGCTCACTGTCCCCAGTTACAGGGCCATTCTCAGAACCCTCCACGGTTCTTGTGATCATGTCTGTGAGACAGCCCTCCATGGCCATGACTGGCCCTACTAAATAATGTCTCCTCCAAATCTGAGGACACCTATGCTCAGTCTGGCCCCAGAGCCCCTCTGCCATGGACTCCAGTGTCCCCTATCTGTAGTGTGGCCCTGATACACTCCTACCCCTACAGCTGTTCATCCCACGCCCTGGGATCATTTATCATGACCCTGCCTTGGTGGGTCGAGGAGAAACTGTGGACTCTGTGCTCGACATGTATACGTGTCTTGGTGGCCTCTGCCACAAAGCCATCTGCAGCCAGGAGGCAGTCTTGCTCTGGTATGAGGGGCAGTGGCTAGGATGGGAGGGGCCTCTGTCCCTTTGCTCTGACTGGTCTCATTGGAGACCCTGGGCTCCTTGGCCCAAGGGCAGCCCTCTCTCCCTGTCATATCTGTGGGTCAGAGCTCAGGGCCACACTCCATCAATGTCCTGGGGGACTGGTGTCCTTGACCTGGCTTTGCAAGCAGCACGTGGGTTCCCCACAGGGGCCGTCTGGAAGGCTGAGCGGTGCTGGGTGCCCCTCAGGGATGGCCTCTGGAGTAGCACTGCTATCAGTGGGAGCTGGCCTAGTTCAGCTGGGTGGGGGGAGGCTCCCAAGGGCCAGAGGTGAGGGGTGCTAGGCTGACAAGAACAGAACAGGGTTGGGGATGGACCTGGAGGGCAGGAGGAATGAGGGAGGTGGGGGAAGGCATCTCACACACAGGCTCTGAGAGGAACCCCAGGATGTTGGGTGCCTGGGAGGAATGGACAGGTCTGCAGGACAGGTGAGCCTGGGAGCCTGAACCTGCCCAGGCAGTGAGCACACAGGCTAGGAAATCATCTCTCTCAGCCCCCAGGGTCTGGACTACTGGGGCTGGGCTGGCTTCCATGGACAAGAGCTGAGAGGAACTGGGGTGTTGCCCCCTGAATTGGGTGGCCCAATTCAGGATCTTAGAGGCTCAGTCCTCCTGTAGACCCCATCCCTGCTGAGTGCCAGCCGCCAGGGGTCCCAGCATGGTCTTGGCCTGGAATGTCATCCTGCCCAGCCCAGGCGTGCATGCAAAGCTGATGTGGTAGAGATGATTTTATCTCTGAACAAACATTGGGTCCAGCCATCTCCTGCCTGGGACATGGATGTTTTCCTCGGCCTCTTCCAGGCCTGCCACGGCGCCATACTGATTAACTTGGCCCTGTCTGGACTGGACGAGGTGAGCGGGGGTCTTCCCAGGCAGTGACACAGCCCAGCTCCTCTGCAGCTGGCCCTTACACTGTGACCCCATGACAAACAGGATTTGAAGAATTCGTGTTGTTTGAAATGATTTCTATCGCTGTCTCCTTTTGGAGGAGGGTCCAGCTATTTCAAGGCCGCCAGTCCCCAAACAGGTTCTCCTCAAGTGTAAGGTCAAGGTAGTTGGATGGACCTACACCCATCAGAAGCCATAGCTAAGAGGGTATTTAAATGATAAGCCAGGTGTGGTAGCATATGCCTGTAATCCCAGCTAGTTGGAAGGCAGGATCACAGCAAAGTTAGGGAGACCCTATCTCGAGAACCGAACAAAAACAACAGGGCTGGGGGAATAGCTTAAGAGGTAGTACATTTGCCAGGCAAATTCAAGGTCCTGGATTTGATCCTCAGTCCCCTCACATAACGATAAAGTATTTGAAAATAAGAAAACCCTGATACCAGCCAGCTGGTGGCCCATGGATGCACAGAGCTGAGTGGAGGCTGTTGTTTTGGGGTGCTGTTCTTTCAACTGGGGCCACCAGTGGTCAGGTGTGCCATTTCCCATGGAGTCACTCTGACTAGAACCTTGGTGCTCTGTGTTGCAAAGACACGCATGGCACTGAGCCCCGGTGTCCCCACACGAAACAAGGTGAACCCAAGTCCTTGCAGCTGAGTGGCTCAGGTAGCACATTTGTCTTCCTTCATCCAGCAGATCCATCCTGAGTGACAACTAGGGGCCTGGGAAGTGGGGGGACAAGGCCAAAGTAGCCTGTCCTGGTGGACTCAGCCACACCCACCCAAAACCCGTCCCCAGGACCTGAGGACAGAGTTGGAACCAACAACTCAAGAAGGCCACAGAGCCCGGGGGGCCAACACCTCCACATACAATCCCTACACACCCTCCCCCGAAGGGTCCCGAGCAAACGCTTTTTGCAAAGGAGGGTGTTAACTCCCCCGTGCTTCTTCCCGGGATGCTTTGCTCTTTATCTCAAGCACGAGCTGGGTGCTGTCACTATTACTTTGGTCTCTGGTCTCTTCAGGTGGGCACCACCTGTCCTTTCAGGTGGAGACCTGCCTACTGCTCTCGGTGAGTCCCTGAGCACAGGCTCTTGGCCTGGGAGCCTGCCGAGTTGCATGGGGGTCTGCACAGGCCGCAGAGGCGCCTGGTGAGCTGGCCGCCCTCTTCCTCAGGAGATCGTCCTGGTGGTATTCTTCGGGACAGAGTACGTGGTCCGCCTCTGGTCTGCAGGCTGCCGCAGCAAGTACGTGGGCATCTGGGGCCGCCTGCGTTTTGCCCGGAAGCCTATTTCCATCATCGGTGAGTCACATCCACCTGTAGACATGCCACCCCAGGTTCCTGGGACAAGAAGGACGCCCACAGCATGACCACCACCAGAGAGCATTCCCAAGGACTGAGCGACACCTCACCCCCCAACACACACACTATTCTACCTGCCCCACGACAGGGCGGTACCCCAAGGCCAGAGGGAGTTGACATCCAGGTCCCTAGCACGGGAGCCAGCTGCAGCCTGGGACCCTCCACACAAGGTGTTTGGCCCTTCACATCTTCTGGGAACTACCTGACTTGGCCTCAGGTCCAGATCTGAGGCTCTGTCCTCTGTAGCACCTCGCAGGCCTCAGCATAGGGCCCAGCTCTGGCTGGGACATGGAGGTGGGGCCTCTGTGGTTCAGACACTGCCGATCCCCCACCCCCCCCGGGTTGTCCCCAAGTCCCATTTGGACCTTGTCTCACGTGAGCAGCAAGGCCCCTCCCAGGGGCAGGCAGGGCCCATGCCGAGGGTCCTGACAAGCTGCTCCTCTTCAGATCTCATCGTGGTTGTGGCCTCCATGGTTGTCCTCTGTGTGGGCTCCAAAGGGCAGGTGTTCGCCACGTCAGCCATCAGGTATGTCCAAGCTTCGAGCTCTCCCTGGGGGACACCCCTTGCTGTAGGGATGGGAGGGGGCTGACCTGTCACCCAGCTGCCTTTTCCCAGCTGTGGGTGTTCTCGCCCTCTGTCCACCGCACTTTGATTGCTCATTGTCCCAGCTGAGCAGAGCTGGCATGGCAGGCAGCAGCTGTGGCTCAGGGTCCTGAGGCAGCCCTGGGTTCAAGGCCCCTCACCAGTGCTTTTTGACTTCCAGAACTTGGGTAGCAACCTGACTGTGTCCAGTCTGCTCATCTATAAACTTTCCCCAGAAGGCAGCCTGGGGTCCAAAGGAGTTTGGAGAAGTGCAGCTGGCCCTCACCCTGACCCCATGGTGGGCAAGTGGGGTTAGAGTCAGTTGGGAAGGGCTGCCCTGGGGCGGGGCGGGGTCAGAGGCACCTGACCAAGGCTGAGGCCAGGAAGCGAGACGGTCCTGGTCCGAAGGGCAGTGTGTACGTGTCTCTCCCACTGAAGAGAGGACTGGCATGGGCAGGGACGCCAGGAGAGGATGCCTGAGACTGACCTGGTCCTTAGCCTGCTCTGTCTCCTTTCCAGAGGCATCCGCTTCCTCCAGATCTTGCGGATGCTGCATGTCGACCGCCAGGGCGGCACCTGGAGGCTCCTGGGCTCTGTGGTGTTCATCCATCGCCAGGTGGGTGGTCCAGGTGGAGGGGGCGGGGGGAGAACAGCCTGTAACAGTAAGTCAGTCAAGGGGGCAGGTGCCAGGGCACTTGGGTCTGTGGATGGGCCCCAAATCCCAGAGCCTCCTGGGAGGATCTCTGGAGGTCACTCCACCCCACACCGTGGTGCCAGTGTCTCGGTCTACCAGTTTGATGCGAGACCGGTACCACCTTCCTCCGGGCTGGGAACACGAGACCATTGCGTCTTGCAGAAACACAGATGGGGGAAAAAGTCTATGAGGCTCAGAAATTTAAAGCCAGGCAAATCCAGGACAGGGCAGCTAACATGATGGCCTTCAGTGCCTTCCCAAGTTGCCTCGGGGACCCTTCATTTCACAGAGGCTCTGTAGGGGACCGGCCAATGCTTGGTTCTATCCTGTTGTGGAAGACGCAAGTGATGGTCAACTGAGGCTGCACAGGCCCAGGGTAACAGCTGGGAGCAGCCTCACTTCTGGGTGACAAGACCCCCTCACACCTGCCATTTTTGAGTTGGGAAAAAGTAGGGTATTTGGAGTTAGCTCTGTGTGCGAAACACGTGTAGAATGCTCTGGTAAATGCCAGAACTTACCAGCCAGGCAGTCCCTCGCTGCAACAGGTGTGAGCGAAAGTGCTTTCGCAGGAAGGCTTCTGCCCACGTGGGCTGATGCGGTCTTGTCTGCCGGCCTAGGAGCTGATAACCACCCTGTACATCGGCTTCCTGGGCCTCATCTTCTCCTCCTACTTCGTGTACCTGGCTGAGAAGGATGCAGTGAACGAGTCAGGCCGCATCGAGTTCGGCAGCTACGCAGATGCCCTGTGGTGGGGGGTGGTAAGTTGGGGCCCTGGGTAGGGGTGTCCTAGGTGGGGCTGTGTGTGCCCAGGCAGAGGCGGGGACAGGACCCCGGGCTATGGTCTCTGGAGGTTTTCTGCTCCCTGACTGTGGCTCCTCACTACAACTTTTAAAAGCTTTTGTGCGTAAAGCTGTACTTGGAGCCAATCGTACAGGGCCCCAGGCTCAGCACTGAGTGAAGTTTGGACACCGTTACCTTGAACTTGTGTTTTGGAAGGGAAGTCTGACGGAATAGGGGAGCTTATGCGGGGACTTGGTGCCTCCACCTGGAGGGGTCTTGGGTGTGGGTGGGAGTGTGGGGGTCAGACGTGTACTCTGGGTGTTTCTGGAGGTTCTACACTGACCCTGTGGGTCTCCCTGCGCCCAAGGAGCAAGACATGAAATAGCATGGCACTGTGATGGGTTGAGAGCCCAGGTCTCCGTGGACTTGGGGCCTGCAGGTTCTCTTGCTGCATAAGGGTCAGCTGGGCCCCAGGCTGGGGGGACAAGTTCGAGCCACCCCAGCAGCTGGGAGCCTGGGTTGGGGTGACTTGAGGGCCTCCGAGCGGCCAGTGTGTGGGGAGGGGAGACCAGTAAGTGACAAATGGCCCTGTGTCCCGTGCATAAGTATCACATGTCCCAAAGCGAGGCGAGGCTGGGCCCAGGTGTGCAGGTGGGGTGGGAGTCAGGGAGGAGAGAAGTGTTCCCAGGGAGATGGGGCTATGGAAAATAGGGTACCCCTCAGGCCATGTGCTCCCAAGTCCTGTGCTGCTAGTGTGTGTCCTGAGGCCTGTCTCTTAAGACCCTAAATGCTGGCCTGGGATTCTAGGGGGCCATCTGGATGGTTAGTGTCCTCCAGAGTTGGTGGCTGCCATAAAGCCTTCAAGTCCTCCACTGAGAGCTGGCCTTTGTCCAGGATCCAGCTTTGGGTTTTCTGCAGGGAACATAGGTTCCATGCCATCCCTCAGGTGCAGGGGCAGAGGGCTGTCCAGAAGCCACCAAGACCCAGGGAGGTGCCAGCATGCCTTGGGCAGTTGCAGCCCTGGATGGGATGTGAGGAGCCTAAGCCAACTCCCATCTGGACCCGGCATTCCCAGGAGGCCTGCTAACCTCTGACAGCCAGTGAGAAGGAGGGAGAGTGGGGCTGGAGCCAGGAGAGGAGAAGGTGCAGCCTGCAGGAAGTGGGAGCTAAAGCTTGGGGGGTAGCACCTGATGGGACAGACAGGGGTGGGGACAGCTGTACCAGGCCCCCACCCATGCCCCCCAAGTGTTCTGTACAGGAAGAAAGGGCTCACAGCTGGCTCCCTGTCAGGGCCCTCAACCTCCACCAGAAGGGAGGCCGCTGAGGTCAGGAAGCCTGGCGAGCACATGGTCCTTCATCCCTGTGTCCCCCATCAGGCTGGGCACACAGCGGACACTCCCCACACGGGATGAATCAGTGTATTTTCTGGGTGCTTCCAATGTGCACAGCAGTTCAGGAAAGGCAAGCTCCCAGGTTGGGGCAGGCCCTGGATTCAGCCTCTGCCCGCCCTCCTGGGGCCTGTGTCCCCAAAGCCCTCGTATAGCAGGCCTGAGCAGGTTTGGGCAGGAGGGCTCAGCCCTCAGGCAGAGAGCTCTCCTGTGGCAGGGGGATGCATCTCAGGGATGGGGCAGGGCCTGCGAGGAGGGACAGAATTCCCTTTTGGGAGATGGGCAGTGCGGGCCGAGGTGCAGCAGGAAGCGAGTGGGTGACTGCCTGAGGCATGGCTGATAAGTGGTGCCCAGCCTTGGCGCTGCCCTGCCTGCCTTCCCGGCCGTCTGCTGGAGCTGCTCCCCGGCCCCCGGCCCCCTGGCCTGCAGCAAAGCGGCGCTCCCACTCCCACACCTGTGCAAACATCCGTCTGCCGGCCGGGAACACGGCCCCTTTGTGCCGGGCCTTGGCACCAGTGCCCCGGCCTGCGCCGTCAACCCCAGTGCACCTCGGCCATTGCGCACCCTGGTCTAGCTATTGTTCCCATGAGGCCCTGTGCCCTTAGCTGTCTGGTCTCCCGCTGCCCAGCTCAGGGGCCAACAGCCCTCAGTCATTGCCTGGTCATCCTGTAGCTATCCAGTGAGAGCAGACAAGGCTTGAGTGACGGACTGTGTTCCTGGCACCTCAGGCAAGCAGAACTGGGAAAGTGGAGGACAGGGGCAGCCCAGGTACTCACATTCCACTGAGCCCTGAGCAGTGGTACCCCACCCCCCAGCTTCCCTCACCCCCACCCCATCAGGGAGAGACTCCGCCCCAGTGGAGGCCCAGGAGGATGGAGCATGGGCTGGACAGGAGATCTGCTTAATGTCTTGTCAACCTGCCTGCCTGCCTGCTTCCGAGGGGCACCCAGCAGGTGGGGGCATTTCCCGCAGGCCAGGCCACTTTGGACTCCCCCCTCCCCCAGGCCAAGCAGTGCTGGCTGGGGGCAGGAACCAGTCCTGCTTCTCCTAGGAGGAGACAGAGGCACATACCCAAAGATGGGCGACCACCGAAGGCTCTCCTGATTGGATGTGACCCTCTCTTGCTCCTTGGCCCGTAGGGCCTTGGGGCAGCAGCAGGGTCCTCAGCTCAGCGGGCATTTGTCCAGAAAGTGAGTGAATGAGTGCGTCAGGTGTCAGGTGATCTGTCCCATGGCACCCAGGACAGCACTGGATTTGTTTCCTGGCTGCCACACGGAGCCCCACAGAGTGGGTAGCTTTAATGACAGACATTTATTTTAGTTCTAGAGGCCAAAAGTCTGAGGTTGAGATCTGGGTAAGACTGCACTCCCTCCAAAGGCTCTGGAGAGGGTCCCTCCTCATTGCATCCGGTTTCTGGTGGCCCAGGCGTCCCTTGGCTCATCCTGCTGTGCTCCTTTGCCTCTCTTACGTTGAAGACGCTCACCACTGGATTTGGGACCCGGCCAAGGATCCGGGATGACCTCACCTTCCAACCTTATCATGTCGTTGACAACTCCAGTTCCAAATAAGAGCACTCGTGGGGCTAGGTGGACAGAACTTTGTGGGGACGCAATTCAGCCGAGGACGGTGGGTGTCCCAGGCAGACTTTGTGAGGGTCCCTCCTCTCGCTGGACCTCCCTTTCCACAGCTATGAAGTAAAAAGGTGCAGACTCCATGGCCAAGTGCTCCCTCGTGTCCACTCCCTGTGTTGGGGATGTCCGCTCGGCTGTGAAGCCTCCTGGGTCCCCTGAGTGTGGCGCCCTGGAGTGGCTGCAAGGCATTGGGGGAGCATTTCAGAACTTTTTCTTTGCCCTTGGAACAAAATGCGTCTGTTTGTGCTGTGCTCCAGGGGAGGGAAAGCAGGTTTTGCAAACACCGGCTCCTCTGTGTTGCGCCTGGGGGTCTCGGAAAACAGGCGGCTGCTGGGCTGTTTACCCCGCAGTGTCTAAGTTTAGAACTCAGAGGGAAAAGGCCGGAACCCCGCCCCTGTATTTCAGCCCCTCTCAAAACAGAGTCTGAGCGGCCTTCGCTCCTCACCTGAAGGCTCCGGAAAGTTCCACCTCCTAGGCTCTGTGGCATCCTGGCAGAGCATGGCCAGAGGGGCCAGGGTGGGGTGGGGCAGGGTTCCCAGGTGTTCTGACTGTCCAGAGGCAGCATTTGGTGTCAGGGCCTCCTTGGACACTGCAGAAGCAGAGGCCTGTGGGCCAGGGCGGGGGGCACTCAGCCCCCACCCAGCCCAGGGCTCTTCCTCTTTTGTGCAGAGTAGGGACTGCTGTGCGGTGAGAACCCAGGGTCTGCAGGACCCTCACCAGAGAGCCCTCTTCAAGGAGGGAACTTTACAGCTGGACTTTGTGGGATGACTAGGAGTCCACAGGCATGTCCATCTTCCTGTATTTACTTACTGCCCATTGACCAGTGCTCGGGGATTTGTTACGTGGACACAGCCAGCCCAGTGAGGGTGCACAGGATAAACTTCCTCTTGGAGACAGGGGTTCAGCTCATACCAGTGAGGAGGAGTCCTCAGATATCCCGGGCAACAAACTTTCCAGCTACTCTTCAGCCTAGAGGAGACAGAGATGGTGTCAGGTAACAGCCAAATAGGAGGTAAGGTGACAGAATCAGGCACCTGAGGTGGAGCCAGACGATGGTGCTACGTTCATAGTCTACCTGTATCATGCACCAGCTGTGTGGCCCTGGGCAGGTGAACCAACCTCTCTGGGCCCATCTGTGAAATGAGTATATTAAATATGGGCCGACTTACACGGATTGTCAGAGAGTTACACACAGAAAGCCTGGGGCACCAGTTGGGGCTGCAGTTGAGGGTTCTCTGTGCCCTTAGAGGTCATGTTCAAGGAAAATGCTTCAAAAAGGAGGGATTAGATTATTACCAGTGCCGGCTTCTCACCAGAGAAGGTGGGAGCCCAACATTCTCCTGTCCGTGGACCCTGGGAGTGAGGTGAGAGGCTGGCACGCTCCGCACCAGTGTGTGGCATCCATGGGCTCAAGCGTGAGTCTCCCGTGTGCCCTGCTGCCTGGCAAGCAGCCGCAGCGGGTGTCCTGGCTCTGTCCCTCCATCCATCGGCCCCAGAGAAATTTCTACTGCCTTCCTCATGGTGGGCTGGCCATTAGTGACAAGTTCCAGGCACAGGACCGTAAAACAGCCCATTCCTGAGCCGTTTGTGTCTGTGACTTTACGAAAAACAAGCGAAACGACTTTGTGGAGATGGGCCATCTCCGGGGGACAAGGGGGTCTGTTGTGGCCTGTAGGGGGGGGTCCAGGGGCCTCAGGCCAAAGGGGTGCGCTCCAAGGGGCCTGCAGTCCGGGGCCGCCGCTGGCTGTCCTTCCTCTTGCCGCTGGTGGGTCCAGCTGAGACCCAGGAATGAGGGTCCCTCGTGGGCAGCTCCTCTGGGTGGGAGGCGGCCTCAGCTCTCTCCACCTGTGCAGGTAACCATGGCCTCCTCTGCCCTGTGCCCTGCTCCGCCCCCTCTTCTTTCCCCTTCACCACTATAGATTGCTTTTAGCAATGATTGAGACTTTTAGAGTCAAAATAATATACTAAAAAAACAAGGAAAAACATTTAAATATTCGAAGTAGTCTAGGTTACTCTAACGTTAAAATAACCCCTGCTAACACACCAGCGTGTGCTGGGTTTGTTGCCCCCTCAGTTATGCTCCTGGCCTGCCCGCCTGGAGGCTGACCCCACCCTCATGCCTCAGAGGGTGGCCGTTCTCAAACTTAATGCCCTCAGGACCCCTTTCTGCTCTTTATAGAGATCGTTGCTTATGGTTATTCTTTTGTGGGGGTGGGGGTGGGGCGCAGGGGAACTGGGGTTTGAGCTCAGGGATTTGCACTTGCAAAGCAGGGGCTCTACCACTTGAGCCACACCTCCAGTCCATTTTGCTCTGGTTATTTTGGAGATGGGGGGGGGCGGGTCTCAAGAACTTTCTTCCCTGGACTGGCCTGGAGCCTTGATTTACCTGACCTCAGCCTCCCAAGGATAACAGGCATGAGCCACTGGCACCCAGCACTTACGTTGGTTTTATCTACTGATATATAATAAAACATATCTTAAAATGCTTCCGTATTTTAAAAATAATAGTAGACCCATTTACGTGTTTACATATGTAAAATAACTGTGAGAAATTATGACATTTCCACACAAAAACATATAACTGAAAGGAAAGTGCAACTGGGCTGCTTCTTGTGACTTGGATGAGCACATGGTGTCTCTGGGCCCTGTCTTGCCGAGCACCTCTGGACTGGGGCACTGCCAGGTGGGGCCACCCTCACTCCCTACCCCTGACAGGGTGGGTGCAGTGGCTCAGGGCCCTGCCCAGGTGTGGCCTGAACCTGCCCTCCCAGTGGCCACTCAAGGCGCCGGACCCTCTGGAAAGGGCAGCTGTGGCCCAGCCTCCCACGTGGGGAGGGTGCAGGCCCTCCAGGAGGCGCTCGGAGCAGCCTGGCCTCAGCTTGCAGGTATCTGGGTGTGTGTGGTGTGTGCCCTGAGTGTCAGAGATGGACGTGGCACCAGCTCCGTGACCCTTTGTGTGACCTGCGCTGGGTGGGTGACGTGTGTGTCCTCACGTTGCCTCTGCACGGGGCTCTGTGAGTGTTTCAGCGTGGGTATGCACATGGGAGGGGGTGTGTCCCCATCTCCGTGTGAGGCACATTTGTGAGTGTGCGCCCACATGCACAGAGCCGGGTGGTCCCTTTAACAGGCCCAGCAGGAACTGTCTTCCTGTGCACTCTGCTTCTGTGTGGGATGTGTGTGCTTAAGGACAGTGACAGGCGGGGAATGGCTCGGTGTGGGCAGGTGGGGGAGATGGATCGTGCGCAGTGCCTGCAAAGTACCTGGGCTATAGACAAACATGCCGTGTGGCGTGGCACTGGTGGGGGTGCCCAGGGCTCAGCAGAGGTCTGTTGTGTCACGTTGCTGGCCCTGAAGCTAAAATTCATCCGTTGCTTCAGAACACGTCAACGGGCCATCAGTATAACTCTGTTTACTGCCACGTGGTCGTTTCTGCTCCAGGGCATCCTGTGTAACTCCTGTTCCAGTGGCTCTGAGCAGTCTCCCATGCCACGGTGTCTGTCTCTCTGTCCACGTGTCCCTTTGAATGTGCGTCCCTGCCTGGCTCTAGCCACCGGGCCTCTCCCTGCCCTCTTCTTCCTCCTCCTCCTTCACCTCCTCCTCAGTGGCTGATGGAAAACATCCGGGCCACATAGAGGACAGGGTCTCCCTGAGGCTAGAGCGGGCAGTGATTGCCACAGCGGGTTGTGACACTGCCTCTCTGGGCCTTGCCTTCAGCTGGAGTCTGTTCGGTGGGCCTCACTAGGGTACCATCCACACTGGCCCTGTGTCGCAGGGTTCAGATAGGGACTCTCAAATGGTTCTCAGCCCAGAAGGCCTTCCTGGCCCAGTGCAGGAAGCTACCACTTGGCCTTCAGGGATAAGAGCTGAGCTGAGCATCCCAATGAGGTACTCAGAGCGGTTGCAAAGACCACAGGCAACAGGTTCCTGCCAGAGTGGCCTGCTCCCACTGCAGGGAGGGCCTGGGCACTGTGCTGTTGCCCTGCCACCCTGGGTATGGGTGCAAGTCTGTGACAAGCGAGGCTTGGGCACCCAGATCACCCCGGCAGACCCAGGGCCTGCTCCTGAGAGCCAGAGGCTGCCACACGGGCAGACACAGGGTGCGAGCCGGCAGCCCAGGCATAGCCAGGGTGGGCTCTGAGACCCTGCAGGACACCATGTTCAACCTTAGCAGAGGCCCCGGGAGCAAACCTCAGATGCCAGCAGGGGGCCAGCCTGGGTGGGGGATCCCTCGATCCCATTGTCTCGCCGAATGCCCTGGATGGACGGCTCCCCACTGAGAAGAAGGCTGAAGCCCTGTCTTGTTCTCTCAGCAAGGGGAAAATGAAACATCTGGAGCCCTGGGCTGGTGGCAGGAAGCGGCACGTCATCCCGTCCCAGCTCTTTGTGGACGGCCGGCCTCGGTGGGAGCTTCCGGCCTCCTGGGGGCTGGTGCACAACGATGTCGGTGGCCGCCAGCCGGGCTCCTCGGGGATGGGGCTGGTCGGTGATGGCGCAGGGAGGCCTGGCCTCCTGTGGGTGGGCTCTGAGTCCCGGTCCTGTGCACGTAGAGCCCTTTCTGTGTCCTTGTGAGCCATGTAGGCTGGGACAGTTAGTCTGGAGGACTCAACCAACCTGCCATGCTCTTCCTGGTGCTTTTGCTGAGCTGCACAGAGGGCAGCAAGAGAAGACAGTGGCTGTCAGGTCTAGAGTTGGCCTCAGCTCACACGGTGGTGGGTTTGGGCTAAGCCCCTCCTTAGATTCTAGACCCTCTAGCTGCTGACTTCTGCCCTTGCTCCTCAAGGTCACAGTCACCACCATCGGCTACGGGGACAAGGTGCCCCAGACATGGGTCGGGAAGACCATCGCCTCCTGCTTCTCTGTCTTCGCCATCTCCTTCTTTGCACTGCCAGCGGTAGGTGTCCATGGGGGACTCACCTCGGCCTTCCCTGCCGGCTGGGGCCCTCCCTGTGAACAGACCCACGTACAGACCCAAGACAGTACCTGCCTTTCTGAAGGCACTTACCCACCATGGGTTCAGGACACAGTCCCCCACCCTGCTCCCGACTCCTCAGAGCGGGTGGGAGGTGGTCTGGCCTGGCTGTGCACAGAGTAGTGGGATGTGAGGCAGCTGCCACCTCACTGCAAAGACAGAACCTGTTCATCTGGTGGGGGAGCAAGTAGCCCTGTACTGTAGCTGGGAGTGGCTGCACTGCCTGTCCCCTTCCAGAAATCACAGGCTGAGTGTGGAAGCCAAGTTCACTGTGGGAGAACAGAGCATATGTGTGTGCTGTGGACAAACGTGTGTGTGGGTGTAAGTGTTGTATACACTGGATGTACGTTTTTATGTTTATCGTGTATTATTTTCATCTTGTATGTGCACACTAAGTGTACGTGTGTCTGTGCTGTATTTGTTTGTCCTATGTTTACTTGTGTTCTGTCTGTGTATCTGTAACAGGCGCACAAGTGTTTGGGTGTGCACGTGCACATGTGTGAGTGTGGAGTGTATGCATCACGTATGCATGCGTGTGTGTATGTACAGTGCATATGTGTTGACGTGTGTTTGTATCTGTTGTCACACAGGCATGGGTTCAGCACTTGTGTGCATGTCACAGCTTGTCTCTTCTCAGGGTGGGCAGTCTCCTGCCCTCTGTACCCACTGGCCATCCTGACTGCAGCAGTCCTGGCCTCCTAGCTGTGAACAGCCTCTGACCCTGGCCCCCTCCCTGGGGTGTGGTCCTTGACTGGGGACAGGTAGATGACTAACCTCCCAGCTCCCCAAGTGCTTCCTGGGAATGGACTAGAGAGGCTGGAAGCCCTGCTGTGAGCAGGCCCCTTGCTAGGTTGGTCCTAGGGAGCGAGTTCTGTCCCTGAAACTGGCCTGGGGCAGGCATCTCCAACGCTGGAGGCCTGACCTCCTTGAGATCACTCCCTCTCTTCCCCCGGGACCCTTGTCCAGTGGTTGACACAAGCAGCATGGCCTGAGTGATGGCGAGCATCCCTTCTGTTCCTCCCCAGGGCATCCTGGGCTCTGGGTTTGCACTGAAGGTCCAGCAGAAGCAGAGACAGAAGCACTTCAACCGGCAGATCCCGGCTGCCGCCTCACTCATCCAGGTGTGCATGTCTCATCCTGTTAATGGCTTGGCCTGTCTGGGAGTTGGACCTGCCCCCAGCCTTGCACTGACGTGAACTGTGAGGCACAAGGTCCCTTTGCTGTGGACCCCTCCCCTGGCACAGTTGCCCTGTTTGGAGAGGTACCTGCTCTTCAGGTGACAGGGTGAGCCTGGGACCACAAGGCCCATCTCCCTTCATTGTAGTTCACATGAAGTGCCACATCTATGGGCTGGGGATGAAGCATTAGCACGGTGACTCCATGCTAATGGGGTTGGTCTGTGGGCCCCTTCACCTCCTGGCCAGCCTCTAGGTGCAGAACTGAGTCTGAGAGGGAGGAGCTCAGGTGGCCATCCTCTGCCCCTGCTCTGTGCAGGGGTAGGGCCTCTGAGTGGCCCAGCAACCTTGGGGTTGCTGTTCCCTGGTGAAAGTAGCTGAGGACTGATGGTCACATGGCACCGACTGCTCTGAAATTACAAGGCTAGAAAACAGGGAAGGCATAGCCCAAGAGCAATGGGGAAGGAAGATTCCAGAGGAGGTTAGGGAGACACCAGGCTCTGCTGCTGTTAGTCCAGCCATCTGAAAGCACCAGGAAGCTGGGCTGTCCTTTCAATACAAGCGAAGTCTTTAGCACAGGCAACATTTGTAAGTTCTGACTCTGTGTGTCCTTGTTGCTGGCAGGGGATGAAGAGTGAGTGGCCAGGTGAGGAACCTAGAGCATAGGCTTTAGGCAGCGTGGGCCAGAGTCCAGCCATGGACATGACCCTCTGCCCAGTGTGATGGCTGGTTGCAGCGCAGTGTGGGCCACTCTGGGCACCATAGGCCGAATTGACCACTGGAAGGTCTGTGGGCCTAGACAGGCCCAAGCTGGCTGTGGTCAACTCCTGCAGGCCTCAGGAGTGTTAAAGCACTCTATCCAGGCAGTACCCCAGTGTCAGGGGCCATGGCTCCCATGATCTTGCTCAGGCTCCCAGCACAGCCCTGGTGTCTACCTCGTTCCTCTGAAGCCCTTCCAGAGGTGGCCACCTGGGGCCCGGACAAGGAAATACCAGTGGCCATGGAGCAGTGTGCCTGCGGCTCTGTGCTCCCTCAGGCTTTATGGTTCCACAGTCTCTCCCTTCCTTTCGGGAAGACCATAAATCAGGCTCATAAATCCTCCTGGGCCCAGGGGCAGGCACCCACAGCAGGGGAGCCTGTTCAATTCCTCCCAAGCCTGAGGCTGCCCATCCTGAACAAGGGCCGCTCAAAAGCCACTCACGGTGAAGGATGTGCTGGGATTGAGGTGGCACTCCTCGATGGGTGTCAAGAAGTATGCAGGAGGAGACTGCAGGCTGGACAATGAGGGCATACAGACAGCTTGGCTTAACCGTGGGACACACTGACATCAGAAGGGTCTTCCCTGCTATTCCAGGTGCCCTGGCTGGCTGCCATGTTTGTGCAAGGCTCTTATCACAGTCTGACTGTCAACCAGAAGCGATGCCAGTGTGCAGGCACCTTCTCCCAACTTGTCCCTACTTTCTAAGGCTCATAGGGCTGGCAGTGACAAGGCTACCATGACATGTCCTCATCAGGGGCTCTTGGACTCTTACTCCATCCCTGCCCACCTTGGGGCTATACGGGCTCCCATGGGTCCCCTACCCATATGTCTCCTCATTCAGGTCAGGCCCCCCTGGTGGCCACTGTGGCGGTTCCCTCTAGAACAAAAGCTGAGAGTTTTGCCTGCAGTCATCAGACTTTCCACAACCTCAGGATGGAGACCCTGGGAGGACTCCTGCCTCCCGGCCCGAGTCTCACCTTCACTAGTCCCAAGCCCTGTTCTCCCCGTGCCTGGCAGCGCGCATATAGGCCCCAGCACCTCTCTTCTGCAGTTCTTCTTCCCTAGGTAGACCCCAGTTGTCAGGTCTACCCCCATCTTCTACTCTTGCTGTACCTGATTTGTGTGTACATCTGCGTGTGTGCAGGACCTGACTCAGGGCTGGGCTGCAGGATGGACTCAGGAGGTGGAAGTGGGAACAAGTGGATTGGGCCTCCCAGGTGAAGGTCTTTGTGGCATTTGAGCTGTGAGCGATAGATAGTTGGTGCCTGGTCCAGGAGGGATGATCCCGGCTGACAGGGTAGAGGGCCTGGGAGCTGGCAGTGGTTTCTCCTGCCACCCAGAGGAGAGGGATTAGGGCCTGGGGATGAGGGAAGGAGATGCAGCTTTCCCAAGAGGCCCTACCGGGCAGCTGGACAGATGACAGCCTCTCCCTTCTGCCTGTTTGCAGACTGCATGGAGGTGCTATGCTGCTGAGAACCCTGACTCCTCCACCTGGAAGATCTATGTCCGGAAGCCCACCCGGAGCCATGCTCTGCTCTCCCCCAGCCCCAAACCTAAGAAGTCTGTCATGGTAACCAAACCAGCCCCGCTGCCACCAGGGCGGGGCTGCCACCAGGGTGGGGCTGCTGGCCAGCAGGTGGGGTGGGGGGCTCCGTGTGCTCCATGTCAGGATGTCAGCATTATTCTGTGCATGGGTGTACAGCCCATGCCAGGTCCCTGCCATCCTCATGATCCCTAGCCTTGAAGCCATGCTGGACTGGCCACTGCAAGGCCAGGACTGCGAGGTACCTGGAGGGAGCACCTTGGGAACAGGGTGGGCCGAGTTCTGGCTGGCCACTGGGAGGAAGGCTCTTGAGAGGGCCTTGATATTGGGCTTTCCTGCTGGGCAGGGCAGGCAGTGGTGTGTGCTGGCTCAGGGAGGAGGTTCTCGGGGTCACAGACAAGGACCAGCATCTTATGATTTGATGAGGGTAGTAAGTGAAGGGCTGCACTTCTCACCCATGCCCACACCCTCAGAGAAGAGACCTGTCCTTCCCAGCTTCCAGCTGCCACTGAGCCTTTGAGCCTGCTACTCCTTCATCCAAACGCTCTCCCTGACTTCCACAGTCTCTCCCTCCCTTTCTCCAGGTGACCTCCTTAAAGAAGCCCTGGCTGTCCCCAGTCTGTTCCCCCTCCATGCTCTGCTGCCTCGGGCCCTTGTCACCACTGCCCAGGTGCAAGCTTGCATATTCATCTTGCATATTTATCTGCTTACCAGTTTTCTGTCCGCTGGCCCTACTGAGCCGTGAGCTCACCAGGCAGCACCTGGGCCTGAGCCCCTCATGAGGCCCCTCAGGCACACGGGACCCCTGCCCCATCTGTTAAGAACAGTGAGGCTTGGTCCTGGGGCCCTAGCCCACCCGGCAGTGCCAGGCTCAGGGTTGTGCAGGTGATGCTGCTAGAGCAGCAGAGGGCCTGGCAGGTGATGCATAGGAACTGCCAATTTATTATGTGGATTTTTAGGTAAAGAAAAAAAAATTCAAACTGGACAAGGATAATGGGGTGAGTCCGGGAGAGAAGACACTGACAGTCCCCCACATCACGTGCGATCCCCCGAAGAGCGGAAGCCAGACCATTTCTCTGTGGATGGCTATGACAGTTCCGGTGAGAAACCTCACACAGGTGCGGTGGGCGGGGCAGGGCCTGGATGCTCTGTGCTGACCCATGTGTCCGTGATTCTCCTGGCACTTTTTCCCGAGGCCCCCACAGCACACACAGGGTCACTGTCTTCTGTGGGAGCCTGAGCGGGAGAATGAGTTTTCTCCTTGGCCTGGGGTGTCTGCTAATAGGGGATGAATAGATAGGGTGGAACTTCTAGAAATTTCCAGAAACTCTGCAGTGGCTTTCTGGAGGAGGGGACCCTCTACACATTCTGTTGAGAGGATACATAGGCTGAGAACGAACCAGGTGGTCACCTCCACCTGGCTTTGTTGAGGGAAGCTGGCATTTTCTGGTCCATTCACCTGACTTCTTCTGTTACCACCCAAGATGGAACATAGCTGAGGTGAACTCTCAGGGCTTTTCCCATTGACAGGAAAGCCTAGAGGTAAGGGTTGTGGGGACAGGGCTTGTGCAGGCCCTGGAGACATGGTGCCAGGCTAGGTAAAACACAAGTGCTTGGCACTGGGGTGGTTGTCTTGATGGGGCAGACACTTCTCACTCAGCCCCCGGGCCCTGAGTTTGCACCTTAAGGTGTGACCAGACCTACTTCTCTATTCTCACCTCTGCAACAGAGCTGAAGCAAAACCAGGTTCTTCAGGATCTTGTGACAGAACTGCAGACCTGTCCTGGATTCTGGTTAAAGAGCTGTGGTGGTTAAGTCATAGGTGAGGCTCTGTAATAGACATGGGGTGAGGGAAACTCAGACAGGCTGGGCGCTCGCTCCAGGCCTGACCACTGGAACGTGGCCTGGATGTGACTACTGCTTCCTTCTCACCAACCTCCGTGACAGAGGCCTGGAGGCAGGAGATCTCCCCTGGGTGGCACACTTATCAGGAGGCACACCTGCTGTTTCCAACACTGTCGAGCCCAATTTTGAGAATGGCACAGGGCCAGCCACAAGTGGGCAGGTAGGTGGCCTGTGCAGGTCTGGGCACAGGTGGAATGTGAGCGCCTGGAGGTTGTAGCATAACCCTCAAGAGAAAGGCAGGGGTGGCTGTGGAGCTCTGGCGACCAAATGGCTACATTTTCTAGCACTATCTTTAACCTAAATTAACCTAAAATGCTTTAGGCATCCCCCCAACACACATACTCTGGGGCCAGTGTGGGTATTTGAGATAGCTGTGCTGTCACCAAGACCAGGGTGTGGCCTGTGTCTTCCCAGGAGAAAACCCACCCCAGCCCGATTGCCCCACCATTTGCTCCCAAGGCCCTTTTCACGGCCCTTGCGGCCACTTCTGCTGAGGGGATGTGATGGGGACCTCGTGCCAATGCAGAGGCTGTGAGTCAGCCCTCAGTGTTCGCAGGTTCCACATCCGCTGATTCAACCAACTGCAGCCCAAAAATATTCGAAAAAAAGTTGTGCCTGTGTTGAACACATACAGGCTTTTTCTCTTATCTTCCCTCTGAAAACAATATATAGTACAGCATCCATTTGCATTTGCACTGTAGTGGGTATAATACGTCATCTGGAGATCGGTCATGAACACGGGAAGATGTGCAGACGTCTAGGCAGATACTGCGCCATTTTGCGTAAGGGACTTGACCATCTACAGGCATTTGTGTCCTTGTTCTTGGGGGCATGCCTGCCAGGCAGAGAGGTCAAGGGCACAGGTGTTAAGGAGCCTCCCTCCCCTTGACCTCTTGCTGAGTCCAGTTGGACCATAGGCATCTCAAGGCCCGGTGTTGGTTCCCAGTGGCCTGGCTTCTGCCTGTTAGAATCTGCCTGTTAGAAGGCATGCCCCTCTCAGGAGACTAGCTCCCTCAGAAGACTGTCCCTGCTTTTCCTCAGTGGCCATCAGTGTCCCATGGGAAGGCTGCACCAGGCTGAGTCCCATTGGTAGCTGGATATCCTGGTTCCAGAGTTTGGGCCAATGGAAGCCAGACCCTGCCTCAGTTGTGCCATGTGGCCAAGGCCCTGGGCCTGGCAGAAAGGAGACAAAATGTACCTGTTCACCTCCCACTCCCGGTGGGGTGGGGCCTGGGGTTCCAGAGCCAGAAGTGTCTGTGTGACAGTGGTCTCCTGCCTGGATACTGCCCCTCTACTCTTCCATCATTTCCGTGTTTGTGTCTTCCCACTTCTTCACAGTTCCTGGAACCCACCAGAGTGTCCTGGGACTAACGAGAATGTCCCTGGGCCCTCCAGGTCATTCCAGTTTGGGAAGGACAGTGTAGTTGTCTCAAGTGTGGCAGAGGGTGACAGACTGCAATGTCCTGATCCTTTGTGCTCACAGGTGACGAGGCCCTGACCCACCAGGCTCCAGCTTCTTGTTGGCCGTTGCCCTGTGTCATGTGGTCACTGCCCCAACACTGCATCTTGGCAGAAGGGCAGAAAATGTTCCAGAAGGGTGCTGAGGCTGCTTCTTGCTCCTTGAGGCTGTCCTGGGCGTCTGATTTGACAGGACCAAGCCTGGGCACCCACTCCACTGTGCACTGGGTTCCTGCATCCTGTAGCCTAATCAGACCGCATTGGGATTTGGCTGGGTCCTGGCCGAATCTCCACGAGCCCCTAGGACACCCTCCATGCCTGCCCCCTGGAGCGGGCACAAAGGGCAATTGTGCCAACATAGCCCAGTGCCCCGCAGCTCGGGTTTCAGGGGTAGGGCCATTGTCTCGATGCAAACGGAAGCTTTCTGAGAATGCTAACAGGCAGGTTGGGCGTGAGCAGAGGCGGCCTGGGATACAGCCCGAGTGCCTGCCCGGGAGAAGCGTCTCTCCGTGTCAGCTGAATACGGGGCAGCCTGAGTCCATGCTGTCCATTCAGCCCGAGAGGTGTTATGAAGTCGTCGGCGATGTCCGTGGCATGTTAATCAGGAACAAGTGCAGAGAAAGGCGGGCGGGCGGGTGCCTTCTGTGGGATGCTCCCACACCGAGCCTTGTCTTTCCTGCTGGTGTGAGAAGTCAATCTAGCTCAGGGCCACCAGATTTGGAGCTGGAGCCATTGGCCTGCCACCCCTCCCTCCATCCCCCCTGTCCCCCCCGTCATGTGGGTTAGCTGATGATACACCTGAGTCATCCTCACCTAGGAGGCTCTCAGGAAGTACTGGTGTGGGGAGATGGGGTGCTAACCCCAGCACGGATGCCATCACTGGAAGAGCCCCAGAATCCCTGCTCGCGTTAGGTGGGGCATGAACAGCCATGCTTGCTTCCAGTGCCAAGCCAACCCAGGACTTGGACCTCATCTGGCCTCTGATCTTGGGCGTGAGAACTGGGTGGGTTAGGCAGGCGTACCTTGATACAGGCATCGGGCACCCACCTGCACACGGCCCTTCCACGGCATGACTGGGCGCTGCTCACGTAGCAGCGAGAGGGACTGGGCTACAGGACTGGCCTCACTTACAGATGGACAAGCAGAGACCTGGGCCACGTGGGGACTTCCCAAGGATACACTTCTGGGCACACCCATGTGCAGGTGTGGTGGCCACAGACTGTGGTGGAGCCAGGTGGGGGGGAAGGTGTCTCGCGCGGGGTGGCGTCAGGGTCCAGGGGTGTGTGCTTCCTGCAGGGAGGCCCATTAGGAAGGAGGAAGCAGCCCCCTTCCACAGCAGGGGTCCCCACGAGTGCTATGGGTGAGAAAGGGAACGCCAGTGATCCAGGATGAGCACAGGGGGACCCAGCCAGGCTTGCTTTCTTTGCAGTAAAGCAGTGTCTGTCATTCACAGAGGACTTGTCAGGACTTGCAAGTCACATGCCACTCGGCTTGCTAGGGCATCTCGGCACGGCCAGATGGAAGTGGAGTTGGAGGCCCAGGGGTCTGCAAGGAGGAGGTGGCTATTGTCTGTGATCAGGCCTAGGGAGCCTGACACCAATGGCCTGACTGCTGCTGTCCACAGAGATCCTGAGGACTCACTGTGGGCCTAGTGAACCATCCTGTACACAAGCAGCCCCCGCCTAGGAGCAGAGTGGTCACGTCTTAAGCACAGGTCCCCAGCGTGGGCTGGGGTTCCCCTTGTGCTTCTGTGCTCTTCTGACGAGAGTCACAAAACAGCCTCGACTCCCTTGTGCACTCAGGACCCCGGGCTGTGCCAATCCCCATCTCAAGCTGAGCCGCCTCCTCCAGGATCACATGGGACGTTGGCGTGCCTTGTCACTCCTCCTGCCTTGTCACTCCTCTCGAGCTAGGGTTGCCCCGTGTCTTGATTTTGCTTTTTAAAACAGTTCTCTGAACTAGTCACTCATAATGTTGAGATGTGCTCACAGGCTTGCCCGTTTCCTCTCAGCTGAACTGAACTTCCTTCTTCCTGAAACTGGGGCTTCCTTCACTGACAGTTGAGCTCTCACTGACGGGGAGCTCTCAGCTTCTGCTTCTCTGGTTTTTAAAATTTTGCCCTTGCTTCCAGAATGATGGTGGAGCTGGGGGTGGGGAGTTACAGGTTGATGTGTGTTTTCTGCAAACCGCTGTCTCTTCATAGGTGAGCTTTCCCTACCCCCGGCACCTGAAAACTCTCCTTGGACATCAGTGCCGAGCGGTTTAACTTCAGCGGTTCGGGTGGTGGAGTATTTGTGTCTGTCCTGCCTACTCGGGGTGTGATGCTGACGCCTGGATCAGAGGGCTCACAGAAAGCCAGCACCATGATGTCATAGACTGTCACCTTCTGATGGCTCCCATCTCCCCCAGGAAACTCTTACTGGACCGTCTCGCCCTGTCCTGGGCTGCCCCGTGTCTTCCTCAGGCCGCCCTGTGCTGCGTGTGGACCGCTTTCCTCCCTGTGAAGTTACTTCAGCGTGTCTCAGGCTGGCGTCCTCACCTACTGAGACCGCTACCAAGCGCTTCCTCATGTCTGTCCATCCTCGGGGAAGGGGTCAATCTGCTTGATTTCAGCACCTCGTACCTTTCTCGTATTTACGTTGCAGTTTGGGATTTTAATTCATGGGAACATGCTCATTTTGTAGACGCTATCATTTTAGCCTCTATAGTTCTTGGAGAGACTTATCCTGTGCACTCT